TATATATATATATATATATATACATATATATATATACATATCAATCGATGTATCTACACCTGTCTATCAATATACATAAGTACATATCTATCTCCTCCTGGGTGTGAGGCTAGACTACATCCGGCTGAGTGAGGCTTCCACTGAGAACAGCTCCCTCCGGGCCACCCTTGGGCGAGGTGCAGTGTCCGTTTGCCTCCCTGGCAGTTTACGTGAACCGTGTTACGTAAAACCTTTTGGCTTCAGGTCTAAGATGCCAGGCAGACGGTCTTTGAAATTGGGCGACGGCTGAGATCACGTCCAGTGTGGACGCTGCTCCTACGAAAGGGTTAGGGGCCTCAGAGCACTCTTTCCTAGTTCATTACAAGGTAAAGAGATCTTACAAATAGAGGACACAACAGCGGTAATAGAGTATGATAGAGAGCCATTGTCAACGCAGGGGGTACTTGGCCGTCACCGTGCCACTGGCTTGACACTAAGAAATACTTCCAAACCGTGACAGCCGATGTCAGTCTGACACGGCACTTTTCGACGACGACATATCTATCAGGAGGAGGAACAAATTGGATAACCAGGGATAAGACTTACTGCCAGGACGTGTTGTGAAGGTGGCCCGGTCCTCAGCCACGATCTGGTTGGCTGAAGTGGTGACCACGACAGAGGCGTTGTACAGCTGGTCTGGTAAGACGTTCTTCAGGGTTACTTCCTTTCTTGCACCTGAACTATTGGGAACGACGGCGCTATGGACGACGAGGGATTGGTTGCACGCCAGGTAAGCCTCGACAGTGACGTTAATCGTGAAGTCCGTCTCTGAAATTTTCGCGCAGGTCCCAGCCAGAGTGACGTAGCAGGTGGCCGAGTCTACGTAGCCGGTGCACGTGAAACTGGAGACTCCGGGAGCTGTAAGGACGAAGAGAATTAAAGTAATACGATGAGTGACGTCAAAGAATTTTTTTAACGGATGTGAGGTGCGTGTATGCCCAAAGCAACTTCTAGAAGGGTGCAGTTTGTCTTACAAGCACATGGCGTAAGTCTTCTCGTTTGGTGATGCTTTTATGGTCTAAAATTTAAGGTTTCAAGCAAGGGCCTACCTCATGATATCTGTTGGAGAGTACATTCTCCTAATTCACCGATAGAAAGAGAATTAGGTGTTTCTAGTTTTTAATATTTGGTGGGTCTTAGAACTCTAAATTGTTAACAAAGTGGATCAACACACACACGCACACACACACACACACACACACACACACACACACACACACACACACACCTGTGAAGGGTTGGATGCAGGCGGGCTGGCTGTGCCCCCCGTCCGGCCCGTGGCTGGCCACAACACACACGTTGTAGCGAGTGAAAAGTTGCAGGTCCGTCAGTTCCACTCCGGCTGCCGTCCGGACCTCTTGCTTCTCTGCCTCTTGCTTGTTGAGGATCGCGCAGCTCACTTTCTGCGCAGAAGAGGGGGTCTCGTGGGTTTAGGTGAGGAGAGACGGGGCTTTGGGTGTAAGGGGCTGAATTTCAAGGTTTTGTGTCGCCGTTTGATGCGCTTGGGACGCCTTTGGGCGTGGAAAGGTTACTACAGTCTGCGAATATATGTGTGTGTGTGTGTGTGTGTATATATATATATATATATATATATATATGTATATATATATATATATATATATATATATATACATATATATATATATATATATATATATATACATATATATATATATATATATATATATATATGTGTGTGTGTGTGTGTGTGTGTGTATATATATATATATATATATATATATATGTATATATATATATATATATATATATATATGTGTGTGTGTGTGTGTGTGTGTGTGTGTATATATATATATATATATATATATATATACATATATATATATATATATACATACATACATATACATACATACACACACACACACACACACACACACACATATATATATATATATATATATATATATAAGATCTGTAATCCTGATAAATTTCTCAAAGTGCGCAAGAGGATTTTAATATATACTCATCAATTTACATATGAAGCAGCCCATTCCCCGAATAATGTCCTTGCCATTCACGCGAGGAAGCCAAACAAGAGAGATGGAAGGAGCAGCCGACCCCAGGAGCAGAGACGCCAGACGAGGACCCGTACCTGGTGGCTGACGAAGTACACGCTCCCCCGGTCGCCGCTCCCCCGCCACGTGACGTTCAGGCTGTCGCGACCGACCACGGCTTCGAGGTCCGTGGGGGCAGGGGGTCCTGGAGACAGAGGGGAGGGGGGAGGGGGAAGGGAAGGGGTGAGAGATTTATTCTTCGCGCTAGTCATGTGGTGTGGTATTCGACGGTGGTAGAGGGTACTATGGTACTATGGTAGTGGGGTGGAAGGCCTTGATGTTATTTAGTGTGATATAGTGATATACTATGATATATGAACCGTATTTATATTGACAGATGTTGAAAGGTATGAATGAGAATGAACATCTTCACAATACAAGAGATG